TTAAGTATATATATATATATATATATATATATATATATATATATATATATATAGCTTTAGTTTACATTTTATTTAACCATAATAACACCCAAGGAATGCATGAAGCGATTAAATATATATGTTGAATGCAATGTAAGTGGCTTTGGATAAAATAAGGAAATATAAAAATCTAATTATCAGAACAATTTTTGGGGGGGTTTTATTTTTATATTTGCACACCATGTTGTGTCTCTCTAACCCCTCATGCTAATTCTGAAGCATCAATATTGTTCATGTTTAGTGTAGAGATTACAAACCCCTCGACCCAAGTAATTGAACTTTGCTCTTAAAATTTGAGGTTCCAAAAGGTTTCGTTTTCTTTGTATGATGAAAATTTGAATAATCTAAAGAACCTTTTTCTACTATAAAGATTAGAACAAACCCTTCACACTCACATTTGGTATGTAACTCACCACAGAAATGATACCTCAAATCATGCAAGAAGAGGTGTACTATTACTTTTCTACATCAAACTTAAGATCTACATTATAGGAGGGAACAGAGTAGGGACCACAATATCTCACAGATTTGGGCATGGTCACGTTTGAGCTAGTAAGCAACAACATAGCACAGTTTTCTTCACCTTATTCACAATGGCCTTATGGTTTGAGTAAAGCACTGCCCTCTCTCAACTCTCCTCCAATCCTTCATTCTTATGCCCCTCTGATCTTGCTCTCCTTTTGGTGTTAAATAAGGTGAGCTGAAGAATTATTAGATCTGCTAAATGCAGCAAAGCCACAAATCATGAAGCATTAGAGTGAGAACAGACAGCAGCTGCCCTGGTATTCTACTCTCAAAGGGGCTACTGTGGCCCCCGTTCTCACAAACCTCAGACGTCTGGTCCTCTGTGTGTGTTTGATGCTGTATGACTTTTAGACTTGTGTGTTGTGTATATGACCGAATATATTATTATAATTATTTCATAACGACTAAGGTGAAAGGAAAATCACAAAGATCTTATTCAAAATAATGGCAGCAGATTTTGTGACAACCTTTGAAAGCAGCCATGCGCTCACACAACAAAACACTCATCCTTCATCTCCACATCAGCAGCTCCTATCAAAGTCTTAGCATGGCTTGAAGTTGGTGAGAAGAAAAAAAAAGATTTAAATGAAAAAGAAGAATGTGGAAAGTGTGGGAATGAGGAACAGCAGGGCAGACACAAAGGCCCGCCGTGTGTCTGGAGAACTGACCCGATCCAAGACACACAAAGGAACCACTGCAGAGAAAGCTGGACAAGAGCTGGGCACCAGTCCTAGAGTGAGAGAGAGAGGAGGGGCAATTTTGCAACTGTTACAAACAGAAAATGTAAGATTGAATTCTGTGTAACGGTTGTAGATTACCATTTAAAAGTGAATTTTTTTTTTATATTTTTGAAAGTCACTGCAGTCACCCGGATTGACATCACTGAATTGAATGATGAACTGCCTTTAACTGAAAAATGAGTGTTTACTATTGTCATTTTGCATTAATGACACACTATTTTTTCTAATTAATGCTGTACAGTTGCTTTGACACAATCTGTATTGTTAAAAGCGCTATATAAATAAAGGTGACTTGACTTGAAAGAAATCTGTTATGATCAAGGCTGAATTTATTTGATCAAAAATACAGTAAAACCGTTAAATTTTAAATTAAATTTTTTTCTATTTAAATATATATTACAATGTATTTTATGTTTGTGATGCAAAGCTGAATTTTCAGCTTTTACTGATCCCAAACCTTTGAATGGTAGTGTATTTTAAAACAAAAGTCAAACAAAACAATATAATGCTGTTCGAAATAGAAGTCATCGATAATCTTCCCATTTTCCAGAGCTCAAAATCTCATTCGGCCTTATGTTCATTTAAAAATAGTGCCTTTACTCACAGTGACAAATTTGAAAGTATCATAAACTGCTTTTTTATTATTATTTAGTACTGTTCTCTGAGGTCCACTTATAATGTTAGCAATCAAAAAACATAATAATTTAGAAGTTATAGGCTATTTTCTGTCCTGTTTTGACCCCTCTCATCGGAACGTTCTGATTGAAAAGGTGACACCAGCATCATCTTTTAGTTTCAATCTTTCTGAAAATCCAGCGTCGAATTATGCCTTGTTTGTAAAGGAATCCACAGTAAAATGAAGTGAACAAAGGACCGAGTTCTTACTGACACGGTCTGGAACTTCATAAAAAATAAAGTTAATCCACTCTTTCCTAATGTTGAAATCAGAAGGAAGGCAATGCAAAGTGTTCAAATGTTTTTCTTTCACAACTTGGCACTGCACAGCATCTTGTTGTCTTCAGAGCCATCTTTATCACTTGGTTTCTGCATAGACCTGTGTTCGCCTCTCTCGTTATTTACACTACATGTGTGAATCAGTGGGCGGGGCTAAACAGGCATTGATGTAGAAGCAGGCGTTGATGATCTTCTGCGGAGGCGGTGTTTAGCCACATTATTACATCATAAAGTGGCACATTCCACAAGCTGTCGTTTTGGCTGATTAGCTGCTTGACCGATTTGACTGCTTGGATATTCTGCCTTACAATTTTGTGTAAGAAAATCATATAGGCAAATTTTTTTTTATTTTATTATAATTTATTTTGGTTATAATTTTTTTCCATATATTACATATTTCATGGTAATATATTTAAAGTATAATTTCTATATTACCAATTAAAATAATCAACATTAATAATAATATTATCAATATTCTAATATTAAATAATTTATTTTTCCTTATAGAAAATGGAATTGTCCAGATGTGGTTCACAACACTTACCATCGCAACACTTATCTGTTGACTGGAAAACTAGACTGAATACAAGAAGGAGAGAATGACAAGTTTATGCAGTTGAAAAGATAGAGGAGCGGGTGACGCACCTGACAGCAACCTGATCTGTGTCGGAGAGATTCATGCCAGTGTCTCTGACGGATGCTGGTCATGGTGACAGAGACACTGCGGCATTTCTCCAGTATGTCACAATAAAACGGCCGGCCTTAAAAACAACCACAGGTGTGCTTCGAGAGGTCACCTGACCTCAAATCTGTTTGCACACACACAGACACACACACACTAAGCCACCCTATGTTATGAAGGCAATACGGGTTATTTCTGAGAATGTTATTAAACAAACGCAAGCGCTCATGGTCATTAAAACGACCACACAGTCTTCAAACAATCTCAGGCTGAACCTACAATAGGTAGAGCTCAGTATTTCTCTCATCCAGTCAAAAAGCAGAACTCTTGAGTTTATGCTGCTAATGAGACAATGCTGTAAATCCACGGATTTCATCATAAAAATGAAAAACATGCCTGTTTTAATTTGAATAAGAGAAATCATGTTGCTAAGTCATAATTATGTGAAAGTAATTTACTATTTTTTAGTTCTACAGGATTTCAAACTAATTGGATCTCGCATATTGGAATTCCAAAAGCGCAACTGGACCTGATTTTCAAAAATCGGGCAATACGGGTTATTTCTGAGAATGTTATTAAACAAACGCAAGCGCTCATGGTCATTAAAACGACCACACAGTCTTCAAACAATCTCAGGCTGAACCTTCAATAGGTAGAGCTCAGTATTTCTCTCATCCAGTCAAAAAGCAGAACTCTTGAGTTTATGCTGCTCGTGAGACAATGCTGTAAATCCACGGATTTCATCATAAAAATTAAAAACATGCCTGTTTTAATTTGAATAAGAGAAATCATGTTGCTAAGTCATAATTATGTGAAAGTAATTTACTATTTTTTAGTTCTACAGGATTTCAAACTAATTGGATCTCGCATATTGGAATTCCAAAAGCGCAACTGGACCTGATTTTCAAAAATCTTATTGGGTCGGTAAGAATTTATTACAGAGGGTTTATATTTCAAATAAATGCTGTTCTTTTAAACTTTCCATTCATCAAAGAATCCTGAGAAAAAAAAAATGTATTATGGTTTTCACAAAACAGGCAGCACCACTGTTTTCAGCACTGGTCAGAAATGTTGCTTGATCATTGTAACATTGGGAAATATATTAAAATAGTAAATTCTGAAAACGTTTCACAATATAACTGTTTTTACTATGTTTTTGATCAAATAAATACAGCCTTGGTGAGCAAAAGAGGCTTGCAAAAACCAGTGACAGTCGTGGCCTAATGGATAGAGAGTTGGACTTGTAACCCAAGGTTGTGGGTTTGAGTCTCATCTCAGGGTCTGGCAGGGATTGTAGGTGGGGGGGGTGAATGTACAGCACTCTCTTCCACCCTCAATACCATGACTGAGGTGAGACCCTTGAGCAACTGCTCCATTGGCTACCCACTGCTGTGTGTGTGTGTGTGTTTGGATGGGTTAAATGCAGAGCACAAATTCTGAGAATGGGTCACTACACTCTTAAAAATAAAGGTGCTTCACGATGCCATAGAAGAACCTTTTTGTCTAAATGGTTCCATAGAGAACCTTTAACATCTGAAGAACCTTGTTTGACAAAAGGTTATTTGTGGCGAAATAAGATTCTTCAGATTACAAAAAGGTAAGAAAGAGATGGTTCTTTAAAGAACCTTTGACTGAATGGTTCTTTGTGGAACCAAAAATGGTTCTGGTTTAGGCAGCAGCTGGGCTGTTTTAAATCCTGAATTTGACATATTTGAGGCGTCAATAACTGATCCCCTTCTTTACATTCCCTGCAGTGTTAAAACCACAAAGTGCGGCATCTAATCTCACAGATCCAGCACCAGATCTGCTTATCATAATTTACAGCCAGAGATAAAAGAATGAGGCCAGTTTTAGGTCACTGATGGAAATACAAAATAATAGAAAAAACAAAATAATGCATGTGCCTCTCAAATTAAAACAAATTTTTAGATGTCATTAAGATTTGTTTGTTTTTCCTCTACGACTTCTGCATGCAGATTCAGTGCAGACTCTTACACACTCTCACAATAACAAGGATACAACATATTATAAAAGACTTCTTTATTTCTAATCATCATGAAGCACTTTCAACAAAATGATCTCACGTGTGGTACAGGACTACAATCAGTAATAATTCCAAGCTCAGGCAGTAGTTGGGATTTGGTATAAAAACTAAATCGAGGCGTCTAAAAAAACTCAGTTTAGATACATTACAAGCTACCCAGAAATTAGCCAAAGAAAAGACAAACAAAATACGTAACAACAAAGCTGGTCTTGACAAATGCAACATGTAATACAACTTGTACAACTTAGAAAAGTATACTTATTTTAGACTCACAAAGGACACATACATTGTATGTGTTACATTATTATTATTCTTTTTGTTGTTTGTTGTAAGGACGTAAAAATGCTAACTACATCATTCACATATTCAGCAGTCTGTTTAAATACCTTATTTTTCTACAAAGTGAATTTACATTGTTTTAAAGTACAAAGTGCAAAGACTATGGTTTCCATCGTCGTTTTGGTGGGGGCAGCATCTGCAGGACGGGACCGCGGGAACAATCGCTGCGACCACTTCAGCCTTGCTTCTTTGACAGGTTCTGAAAAAAGTCAAATGAGAGAATGAGTAAAATGCGATTTTAAAACAATGGCTTTAATTTATAAATGCAATTATCTACTTGTATTAGTAATTGGTTTCAATCTACTGCTCTGTAAAAAAAAAGGAAGAAAAAAAAAGAGAGAAAGGCTGGAATGCATGTTGTGAATGTTAACAGCCACTGACATTAACTCACCAGTTTACTAGCTGTTGTGCCTTCACCTGTTTTTGCCCCTGAGGAAAAACCAATGAGAATGTTTTACAAGCCGGTTCCCCATTACATGAAGGCAATACGGGTTATTTCTGAGAATGTTATTAAACAAACGCAAGCGCTCATGGTCATTAAAACGACCACACAGTCTTCAAACAATCTCAGGCTGAACCTTCAATAGGTAGAGCTCAGTATTTCTCTCATCCAGTCAAAAAGCAGAACTCTTGAGTTTATGCTGCTCGTGAGACAATGCTGTAAATCCACGGATTTCATCATAAAAATGAAAAACATGCCTGTTTTAATTTGAATAAGAGAAATCATGTTGCTAAGTCATAATTATGTGAAAGTAATTTACTATTTTTTAGTTCTACAGGATTTCAAACTAATTGGATCTCGCATATTGGAATTCCAAAAGCGCAACTGGACCTGATTTTCAAAAATCGTATTGGGTCGGTAAGAATTTATTACAGAGGGTTTATATTTCAAATAAATGCTGTTCTTTTAAACTTTCCATTCATCAAAGAATCCTGAGAAAAAAAAAATTTATTATGGTTTTCACAAAACAGGCAGCACCACTGTTTTCAGCACTGGTCAGAAATGTTGCTTGATCATTGTAACATTGGGAAATATATTAAAATAGTAAATTCTGAAAACGTTTCACAATATAACTGTTTTTACTATGTTTTTGATCAAATAAATACAGCCTTGGTGAGCAAAAGAGGCTTGCAAAAACCAGTGACAGTCGTGGCCTAATGGATAGAGAGTTGGACTTGTAACCCAAGGTTGTGGGTTTGAGTCTCATCTCAGGGTCTGGCAGGGATTGTAGGTGGGGGGAGTGAATGTACAGCACTCTCTTCCACCCTCAATACCATGACTGAGGTGAGACCCTTGAGCAACTGCTCCATTGGCTACCCACTGCTGTGTGTGTGTGTGTGTTTGGATGGGTTAAATGCAGAGCACAAATTCTGAGAATGGGTCACTACACTCTTAAAAATAAAGGTGCTTCACGATGCCATAGAAGAACCTTTTTGTCTAAATGGTTCCATAGAGAACCTTTAACATCTGAAGAACCTTGTTTGACAAAAGGTTATTTGTGGCGAAATAAGATTCTTCAGATTACAAAAAGGTAAGAAAGAGATGGTTCTTTAAAGAACCTTTGACTGAATGGTTCTTTGTGGAACCAAAAATGGTTCTTCTATGGCATCGCTTGAAGAACCTTTTGAAGCACCTTTATTTTTAAGAGTGTATACTTGGCCACACGTCACTTCACTTTCACTTCACTTCAAAGTGCATTCAATGGAGCATCACCTTGCATTTTTTCCTCTACCATTTCAAATCAAATTATTCCCTATTATTAGAAACTAGTCATACTAGTCTAATATGAACAGTAGATGCCCTTATTTCTCGGACATCCTTTAGGAAACAGTGAGACTCACCCTCTTCCTTAGTGACACCCAGACAGCCCATCAGTTCCTGTAGAGACAGGGCTTTATCGTTGCTGATGTCGCAGTACTCCACAAACTTCTTCACACACTTCTTGGGTTTGGATTTCTTGCGCAGTAAGCGCTTGAACGGTTTAATTTCTTTCTTTCCGATGTCGCCGCTGGAATTCTTGTCAAGCTGACTGAAATACCAGTGCACAACTCGCTCTTCCAGAGTATGACTGGGGTCAGGCTCCAGCATCCTGAATGGAGGAAAAATCAAACACTGAACATGTTTATACGCACTTTATTTTCTGGTTAAATGCCTGTGAAACATGTACTGTATATAAATAATAAATGAAGTTTTCATTTGCTGCCTTTTGATCGTTAGGGGCCTGAATAGCAACATCAATTATTCTATTCAGTTAGCTAATGAACTAAGAAAATATTTTTACACCACACTGTAGGCAGGGTCAGTTAAATTCAAGAACCGGTCCATTACATCTACATTTGTCCTTTCTCAGTTTCTTGTTTACCTGCCGGCAGAGGCCGGGTCAGTTACTGCATGGACCATGTCTGTGGACAACGCGTCCAACACGCTGGTCAGGAATTCTGTCTTCTTCTCCCCAGGACATCCTGAAAAATAGAGAGATGCGAATGTTACAAAAGGAGCTGCACTCTTTAAAAGAACTGTTTAGAATAACATGTTTGAAAAAATTAATTTGAGTGAACTATTTAGTTCAACTGTACTACACTTTTGATTGTAAAACGGTCTAAATATTCTTTTTTTATTGGATTTTAGTGACACTAAGTTGTTGCTTAACAAAATCCCATGAGAAAAAGATTAAAAGAGAACAAGGCTTCCTTTTATGTGACATTTACCTTCAGGTTATCAGTATAAACAGCTATGAAACCTCAAAAACAGCTGTTGGGACTGAATTACCTCATGTAACTCTACTGCTCTGGTTTTAATTACTGAACTATGTGATTTTGTCACTATTGACCTCATTAAAAATGAATAATTTGCAAGAAATGCATTAAATTAATCAAACGCGACAGAAAAGATGTTAATAATGTTGAAAAAGATTTATTTTCTAAATGACCGCTGTTCTTTTGAACTCTCTGTTCATCAAAGTCTCCTTAAAAAAAAAAAGTATCACAGCTTCCACAAAAATATGATGCAGCACAACTGTTTTCAACATTGATAATACTAAGAAATGTTTCTTGAGCAGCAAACCGGAATGATTCCTGAAGGATCGTGTGACACTAACAACTTAAGTAATGATGCTGAAAATTCAGCTTTGCATCACAGGAATAAATGACCAATCCCAAACATTCAAATATCTGAATGTTATTTTGCATTTTTAAAAATGCACCAGACTAAATGCACATTTTCACAGTTTACAGTGTATATACTATGGTACTGAATGATTGCAGTACTTAATGAATGATGAATACAACTCTACTAACATAATACATATCCAAACAACCATGGTCCTTATTTGTTAATATATAGTTCAGCTAGTGAATGCATATAGTGCTACACATACTAGTGGCTATTTGATGTACTGGCGCCATAGGTGGCCCAATAAACACTGAAAGATGTAAAGCTGTCAGATGTTTTTACACCAACTGCACTTAAAGATGGTGGAAAGTAGGAGAGTTAAACAATGTTACGGCTTTAGAGATTCTTCACCGCCTTGTCATACAAATCAGACCTCCCCTATCCTGTCCGAGGAAGATGACAGTTGCCAATCAAACCGAGGATTTGGGTTTATGGTCACAGGTAAAAGCTTGCTGTCTGTGGGAATTGAGGCCTATGTGGATGTTTGGGTGAAACCCACAAACCAGTCAAAGACATGTCCAGGTCATAATTTACCACAGAAATGAGAAATTATATTTTGCACAAGCATAATGAAAATTAAGCCTATTTGTAGGATTCTATGGATTTGGTCATTTTCATGACAGTTAACCCAGCTAACAAAAATTTGTTCAAATTACGTTTTGCCAAAATGTTTTCTTGAATGTTCTCGGCAACCGATAAGGGACTATTCAATTTGATAATTTTGAAAACATTACGGGAACGTATACTTTTGAATGTTCTCTAAACATTCTGAAACAAAAAAATGTTGAAAATCATTCTATGAACAATGTATAAATAACATTTTTGTGCTAATGTTTCACATTATTAAAGACCAGATAACTTTTTAACAAATGTTATATTACCATTATGGGGGAATGTTTGTTCATAACTAGTTCTGAGAACATTCCCTGTTAGCTAGGAAGCAATTAACTTTAGTTAAGATCCCCCCTATAATCCTCATTAATATCATGCAATAAATGAGTAAATATTGAATGTAAAAAATAAAAATAAAAATTAACATGTAAATAATATGATGATTATATACTAAAATTATATATACCAAAAAAAGGCAATTTTTCTTTTTTAGTCAGTAACATTCTTTTAAATAAATCTGGTTTACAGTAAGTGTTTTATTTCGGCAAATTTGTGTCCATCTCATTCTGTAGCTTGTGTTATGTATATTTACATGTACTGTATATTGGCCATCCTGCTCTTTAGATATTAAGAGTTGGCTGTTGAAAAACCAAGGGAGTTTAACACACTCCTACACCTCCTTTCTCATATCCATCTGTCCAAATAAAGCAAGATAAAGAAAGGGAAAGTGTGTTTGTGTGTCTGTGTGTGTTTGCAAGGAGGAGTCTTCACATGCTGGTCTGTTTATGGTCAGGCCCAGAGGCAACAGATTCTCTGGTGTAAGAAGTAAAGGCATGCCGAGGTCCTCGTGAACAGGTGTGTGTGAGAGCGAGCGTGATCAGGTAAACAGACAGCCTCACACGAGAGAAAAGAGAAGGTAAAATGGCATTTAAACGTGCGGAGGTTTGCGAGTGAGTGTCGTGCTGAAGATCTGCGTGAGATTCTGCTCCTCACTGAGACCAGACACAATAAAATATCCGTGCCACCTGTTCATATGAGGAACGGCATTCTTATTGCTTTTTCAATAAAAACAACATAACGTTTAGTGTAGTCTAGACACTAAATAACCAACATTTCTGACCTTTTAAGAATTCGTTTTGCTCTTGGCATTTTACATCAGTCAGAAAATGCCATTTTTAATGTGTCTTCGTATTCCATTTTAGTATGAATTTATAGAGTTTGAACTGCACTGCTTACATGTGTAAAGAAAATACAGCTATGATTTGTCTAATATAAGCCTGTTTGATTTGGTTCAAAAACATATCCAGTGTTATGATATGATATATATGTGTATGTGCTAAGCAATCCAGTGCTGCAGGAATGACATATTTTTGTTGGCCAAAACACAAATTTTTTTCTCTACAAGATAAAATACATCAGTAATAGCCCTACGTTTTTTTTTCTTTCTTTCACTTAAGTGAGCTTGAGAAATTAAAATAAAATAAAAATTCAGACATTCATTTGAACTCTCCAGCTAATTTAAATGCTGAGTAATTTAAATTCACAGAGTAAACCCATCCAGATCCTGCATTTTACAACATTTCTGCGTTACCCAGAATCCTACAGCTTTTAGAACTTACATAAAAACTCTCAAGTTGCAGCAGAGTCATGAGAATTGCGGTATTGGCTGTGGATTGTGGACGTTTAGCTGCCAGCAGCCACTGGCCCCCATCGGCCCCCCTTCTACACCACAATTAACTAACCGTGACCAGAGAGCTGCTCACACAACAGCACCTGTACACATGCTGCTGGCAGCTTTAATGTCCACACACACACACACACACACACCTCTGAGGAACAGAGGTTTATTCATTAACATATTGAGATATTGGCATTTTTACCAGAGTGCATAGTGGCAAAGCTAGCCTAGTAGTGGAGAATAAGACCAGCAATTAGTCTGTGTTTACTGAGCTGGGTCATTACTATGCAGTACAGATTCATATCACCGTGATATAAGTCTGTACAATATTAAACTCAGTTACAATTAATTGAAAATAAGCGTGCATTTTAAATAGTTCCACTACTTTTTTGGTGCATTGTGTACAATCCACTAAGAAAAACTGGCTGTTTATTACAAAATACTCAACGTATTTCTTCACTGGTCATTATTTTATTAGTTTTTACTGTCTTTAATATCACTTTCCATACTGCACTCTCAGAAAAAAAGATACAAAAGCTGACACTATGGTGGTACTCTTTCAAAAGGTAGTAATAAGTACCACTAAAATGTGCACTTCAGATACTAATATGTATCTTTAATGCATTCATATGCACCTTTAGGAGTAAAAAAGGTACAAAAATGTACCTTTTGAAAGGGTACTGCCCCAGTGACAGCTTTTATTTGTTGGTTTTTGACACTCTAAAATGTTCCATATTGTTACATAAATCAGTGTGACAGCATACAATTAATAAGCTCATAAAAGATAAGACTGTCACTCCCTCACTGAGCAATCTTTCAAACTTATTTTTGAATCCCTTCACCTTTGAAGACATTTCCAAAGGGAGGTGTTGTCTGATTCCAAAAAAATATAGCAAAGTAACACACATTCTCACACCCCACACACTGTTTCAAAAGCCTGTTTCACCACGTAATCTTAATTAAAGTATGTAGATAATCCTATTAGTCAAAGTCTGACCAGGGTTACTACTACACATTCTGTTTTTTGGGACAAAGCACAAAAGCATTTCTCATGTACTTGCACTAACAAAAAGTACCATGGTATTTCCATGGTATCTTAGAAGTACACAGGGTACTTCTTGTTAGTAAATACCATGATACTGTAATACCATAGTATTTATACCATGCATTAGGCCTGTCGCAATAATCAATATATCGACTTATCGCGCAATATATGTACATGACCTCAATCATTTTTGGTGACGCAATATATCGCCCATTATATTTACTTAAAAATTAATGTCACCATGTTTTTTACATTCCACTTGCGCCTGTGTCTTTTGCAGCTTCTCGTACATAACGTGGTGTAGTCATGAGGTGCTAGTTCAAATTTAAAAAATGCTTCTACAAAAAAGTTTCATCTGAAGATATGGCCTTGTTTAGGGATCTGTGCCTTTGTGCATACAGACATCTGACTGCTGAGTAGTGATTGTGTTTCTCAGCAATAGTGTGCACCCTTAATTTACAGAGAAAAGAAGGTCAGGAAAAAATGCATCCATGAAAGTGCATTTTTCTTTTTTTTATACTTGTTACTTTGCACTTTTTGATATCTCATATTTTGATACTTAAATTCCATGATCTAAATATTCTTAAAAATGTAAAGTTTGTTGTCATTTGGAAGTGTGTAGGCCTTCTTGCATTATTATGCTGTTACATTATGATTATATATTCAGTGGCATAAAATGGTCTTTAAAATGACAACACTATCGCTTATCGCAATTATTTCTGGGGAAATATATCGCACAACCAAAAGTTGTTATCGTGACAGGCCTACCATGTATTACAATTATTCAGAATCATGGTAGATGTTTAAATGCCAGAGTACTATTCCAACTAATAACACGGTACCACCACATTATATTTTCATAAAAGTGGATATTATGTCTGAGCAATAGTATAATATAATATAATATTTATACATTTGCTCTGAAATGAACTAATTTGAATGAATCAGAAGTGAAGTTAACACATGCTAGTGGTAAAATCTTTAAAATCATGATATTAATATTCTCGTCGTTGTTCCTTAATTATGAATTACTGTTCAAAAAATTGTGCGATTTTTATATGTTTTTAAAAGTCTCCGATGCTCACCAAGGCTACATTTATTGTGCAATATTATTAAAAATTCAAAATATCTGTTTTATATATATATATATTTCACCATCATTCTAATATACTGATTTGCTGCTTAAGGAACATTTTTTATTACCAAAATTGAAAACATTTGCGCTGCTTAATTTTTTGTGGAAACAGTGCATTTTTTAGGATCTTGAAGTAAAATATTTTATTTGAAATGAAAAACTTTTTTTTACATTATAAATGTCTTTACTGTGACTTTTAACTAAGTTAATGTGTGTAATACTTTCTTTAAAAAAATCTTGCTGACTTTATTTTTTATATAAACTAATATTGAATATATAAATATTCAACATATCACTTAGTCCACGTACAGGGATGGAATATTGCAGCTCCTATTATTTTGAGTCTAATCAACGACTTCATTCATGCTGGAAATGGAAATCACTCCCTTGTTTCCTTTTTGCAGTTTTTTAATCTTTGCACTCTACTCCTTTTTCCTCTGTTCTTCGCCACGGCCACTCCCCCACACTCATCCCTCCTTGTCATCCTCCTAGGCTCGTGCTATTATCTTGTGAAGTGAAAACAACGCTTCTAACTTCAAACTGTTGCTTCAAGCTAAAATATGAGTCCTCTATCTATTATATTGCTTTCTCCAGTGAAAAATAGTCTCACATGAATCAAGAGATCATGCACCGTTTACAAGCAAAAACAGTCCAAAAGAGTTCTAAACAAATATGTAGATGGATGTTGAAGAGGACAACAGTGGATGGGCTTTTTCATTGGAGGAATTGTTATAATAGATTATGGTCTCATATTTTGGCCAGAAGCAACTTTTTAAACTTAAAACAGCTTATTAATGGATTTGTTTCTAACAATCCCAGTTATTTGCTTCACAAGATGTTAATTGATGGTCTGTGGTCATGTGGATTACTTGTGGATTATTGTGATGTTTTTATTAGCTATTTGGACTTTTGTTCTGACGGCACCCATTCACTGCAGATGATCCACTGGTGAGCAACATTTCTCCAATCTGTTCCAATGAAAAAACAACCTCATCTACATTTTCATTTGTGGGTGAATTTCACCTGTTTTTTATGTACTATGCTTTAAAAAAAAATCCTATATTGAGTGCATTACCTTGTGGATGTTCCAGGTATGGGTCGTCCAGTGTCCACCAGGACACACCAGCAGTACCCGGTGGAGGGATGGCACTGAACGGGTTTGTAGAGGCCACCGTGAGCACATTCTGGCACAAAAACTGCTTCGTTTTTATGTTGTCGTGCTTCTTCCTGTGCTGACAGCTGCTCCTGATCACACGAGGTCGCTGAGGTAAAGTGAGGCAGAGGAAAGGAGTGAAATACTGCAGGAGACACAATATGAGTGAGTAAGTGTCAGTGTTCTCTGTGGTGAAGAGAAGCCAAGCATCTGTGTTTTCCGTACAATGAAAGGAGACAGTGACCAGGAGCTGTCAAGCTCCAAAAAGTAACGTCTCCTTAAAATTTCGATAAAAGTAGTACATAAGACAATGCACAATAGCTTGTGAGGACTAGAATATAACAGGCTTTTTCTGAAATCTGAAAAAAAGTTCAAAAAAATCCAATGTTTGACATATCTAATTCCATGATTTTGGAAGGATGCTGTCCGATCCAGTGAAAAATAGTCTCACCTGAATCAAGAGATCATGCACCGTTTACAAGCAAAAACAGTCCAAAAGAGTTCTAAACAAATATGTAGATGGATGTTGAAGAGGACAACAGTGGATGGGCTTTTTCATTGGAGGAATTGTTATAATAGATTATGGTCTCATATTTTGGCCAGAAGCAACTTTTTAAACTTAAAACAGCTTATTAATGGATTTGTTTCTAACAATCCCAGTTATTTGCTTCACAAGATGTTAATTGATGGTCTGTGGTCATGTGGATTACTTGTGGATTATTGTGATGTTTTTATTAGCTATTTGGACTTTTGTTCTGACGGCACCCATTCACTGCAGATGATCCACTGGTGAGCAACATTTCTCCAATCTGTTCCAATGAAAAAACAACCTCATCTACATTTTCATTTGTGGGTGAATTTCATCTGTTTTTTATGTACTATGCTTTAAAAAAAAAATCCTATATTGAGTGCATTACCTTGTGGATGTTCCAGGTATGGGTCGTCCAGTGTCCACCAGGACACACCAGCAGTACCCGGTGGAGGGATGGCACTGAACGGGTTTGTAGAGGCCACCGTGAGCACATTCTGGCACAAAAACTGCTTCGTTTTTATGTTGTCGTGCTTCTTCCTGTGCTGACAGCTGCTCCTGATCACACGAGGTCGCTGAGGTAAAGTGAGGCAGAGGAAAGGAGTGAAATACTGCAGGAGAGAGTGAGTAAGTGAGTAAGTGTCAGTGTTCTCTGTGGTGAAGAGAAGCCAAGCATCTGTGTTTTCCGTACAATGAAAGGAGACAGTGACCAGGAGCTGTCAAGCTCCAAAAAGTAACGTCTCCTTAAAATTTCGATAAAAGTAGTACATAAGACAATGCACAATAGCTTGTGAGGACTAGAATATAACAGGCTTTTTCTGAAATCTGAAAAAAAGTTCAAAAAAATCCAATGTTTGACATATCTAATTCCATGATTTTGGAAGGATGCTGTCCGATGTTGAAAGAATTTATAATAAATGTAAATTGAATTACATTAAAATGTTTATTCTATCTTATTTTTATTTATTATAATATATATATATATATATACAGTATATATATGTGTGTGTGTGTGTGTGTGTGTGTGTGTGTTAATAAATAAATATTTAATACATCTAAATGTATTACATTTATTCAAATTAATTACACTTAATTGGCAGTTGTGCAAATCAATGTATAAATGTCAATTAAAAAACCTTAGAAATCTATATACTGATAGATACGCATTGTATTTATTAAATATGATATCTCATGATCCTGTGAGTGTGATTCATCTGGTTAAAGGAATGCATGCTGTCTGATGTTAATTAAAACAATTAATAATACATTTAATGAAAGTTGAACAAATTAATTAAATGCATATATTTTTATATTTTAGAGAAATAAGCATTACATTCATCAAATATTCGTGGTTATCTCTAAAGCTCATTTGAATTCGTTTCAGCTCATGTTATGGGGGCCTTCATACAAGAACGCTGCCTATGAAGTCAATGACTGACTGGACGGTGAAGCCTTGGACACAGCCGTGCAGAGATGGATGGACAGCATGTTGGAGGGGGAAAGAGAGTCAGAGAGAGTGAAAGTGAGAGCTTGTGCTTTATCTGCAGCCTGCGGGAATGTTTATGACATTAAGAAGTTAAAGACTGCACAGGGCTCCTGCTGCTCGACCAGCATAAATATTTACACATCGTCTCTGGGTGCCTGCATTTGCTGTGTCTTTGAATGAAGATAGTGACCTTGAGCAGAGAATCGCTGCATAAAACACATTGTTTGGGCAAAACAGTGGCATCTTAGCGCTTCCTTTCAATCCTCCAAGAGACACAACGACAGCCCCAAACACATGAATGATCCATATGGAGCACAACCTTTGAGCCATGAGATTTCTCTGCATCAGGAACCAATCATCTCATGTGCCACAACACAACTCTCCAGCAATGCTTTGAGCCGCCTGATCTAATGCAAGCAAGATTATAAAAAAAAAAAAATGTGTGTGTCTGTGAGAGAGAGGGAGAGATGATATGTGCTTTCTAATGTATTCTGTGGCAGCACAGAATATGGTTGTCAGTCACAGATGAAGGGTGAACAGAATCCAAGCTAAAAGTAGTCTAATGTTAGTGTATTCTATTAACTACGCATACTGTATATGATTAGGAAAGTAGGCTACTATATATGGATGTCATGTCATAAAATATTTATAATACGACTGAATTTGTATTTAAACTGATTATGATTTAATAAAACATATTGTAAGCTAATTATAAAGCATACATTTCGGTTATTCATACAGCGAATAAATTATATACAAAAGTCAGGCAGAACATTTACATTATCAAAGAAAATTATCACTGACTTCAGTCTAGCGCGAGTTTAAGCAATTTTTTATAATCGATGAAGCTGCCTACACTGTGAAATAAATCTCTTACATCGCACTTACATCTGCACTTGTTTGTGATGAGAGAATTTGAGAGAATTTATTGAATGATGAGAGAATTTATTCAGTCGGCGAGCGTGTGCACTGAACAAACCTGACTAATCAGAACGCAATCCCAAAAGCTGACATTGTGAACATAGACTAGTGTTTGTAGTGTTTTGCTATGTGGTTATCAGGGTGTTGCTATGCGGTGATTTTAAAGCGTTAAATATTAGTACTGTAATATTATAATACTAGTATCTGATATTACATATATTACTCTATATACTGAAATATATCACAAAAAATGCATTTAAAGTCATGCAGCACTGTTTCTGCACTGTTGCTAAGCTGATCTGAGTGTTTTTAAGTGCAGTTGCTAAGGTTTTCAGGGTGGTTGCTAGGATGTTCAGGGTGTTGCTAAGCTGTTTTGAGTGGTATGCAGTGCTATGCGTTTGCTAAGGTATTATCTCTCCCACATCCGTTTAGTTACCCTCTCTATTTCTCTGTGGTGTTGTCAGGTCTTTGGCTTCATGTGAGCATTGTTTTAGGGTTTTTCGCTTCTTTTTTTTAACCCAGAGACATCTTTTCTTTGCCTCTGTCTTTCGTTCAATTCTATTCTGAGCGTCTCTGAATAGTGATAATCACCCTTTAGACCTCAACGAATCAGCCGTAATCAAAACCATCAGCGTTCACTGCACTGCACTGACGTTTTATTGATTGTAAATCAAGAGGTCTTTACAATCAAGCTATTCACACACAGATACACACACACACACACACACACACACACACACAAACGAGTCTATTCAGAAACACACACACTCTGTAATAATGTCATCAGAATTAGATTTTTTACTGAGTTCATGTCGTCATTTTTTCCCAGATGGGTTTTAATGACATCTTTGTTGATTCCATCATTAGATCAACATGTCAGGCAATGGCTGAGTGCCACAGTGAGCTGGATCTCAGAGAGAGAGAGAGAGAGAGAGAGAGAGTGTGTGTGTGTGTGTGTGTGTGTTTGAGTAACTACAGCAACAGTTTCATAATACTTACAGATAAGCATCTGTCTTTGTCTTTTTTGCTTTCTCTTTCTATTCCCATCCAAAATAAATAAAATAAAATAAATAAAAATAAGGTAAAATATCAATTTTTCCTAGTGTCCTAAAACTAGCCCTAAAACAAACAAACAAAAAAGAAACTGTAATTGAAAATAAAATAGAATAATAAAAATAACAACAACAAAAAATAGATTTAAAAAAATGCAAATAAGTAATGTTACACTGGCAGCTAATCGAAAGAAATAGGATACACACTAAAATTACTATAACTAGAAATATATATATATATATATAATATTATAATAGTAAGCAAATTATAGTAAAAATGACACTAAAGGATCTCCAGCTTCTAAGATGTTTCTCCTAGTAATTTTCCATGTGGTTCCTTTAGTTTCATATTAGTTTCACTCAATCATTTCTCATTAAATTCTTCAAAGATCAGATGATCTGAACTATCCATTGGCCATAAAAAAGGAAATTACAAAATCAGATTTCTTTAATTGCTCAATTGTTTCTCCCAGACAATAATGAGATTAACTTGAGAACAGATGGAGACTTCTGTTTAAGTGCCTTGCTTTTCAGACATGTCTCCTATCTAAAATGTCACAAAAAGTCTGCGAAAAGGTTTGAGATCTGAACATGAACTCAGTATGACAATTCTCACCAAATTCTTTCAGTTTCAAGATATCTGATCTATACTATTCCTATTAGTTTTAAAGGGGACATTAATTGAGTGAATGGATTTTTTTCATTGTAGGTTGGTTGTGTCAGAGGATCCCTAAATCCAGGTGTGAAAAACTTGTTGCCTCTTTCCCAAAAAGACTCATGGCTGTATTCGATCAAAAGGGTGCTTCTACTAAATACTGAGCAAAGGGTCTGAATACTTAGGACCATGTGTTATTTCAGTTTTTCTTTTTTAATAAATCTGCAAAAATGTCAACAATTCTGTGTTTTTCTGTCAATATGGGGTGCTGTGTGTACATTAATGAGGAAAAAAAATTAACTTAAATGATTTTAGCAAATGGCTGCAATATAACAAAGAGTGAAAAATTTAAGGGGGTCTGAATACTTTCCGTATATGCAAACACCATGTAAAAGTGAATTTTGCATCCGATGTCCTCTTTAAAGCTCTATAATCATTCTGTATGTCAACAAGTGTCTCATTTGTCTGTTTTTCTTATTTCAGCAAACACATCAAGAGACAAAGTTGATACTCAAACTGCAAAGTCCACTGACATTTTAGCATTTTACGATTTTCTGTCTTCTCCTAAATACCAAAACCAGTCTGGCTCTGTTAGCATTTTGTGTTGAAAAGTGACAACAGATGTTTGTCGGTAACTCACATTGTGTTCTTGTCCTGTTTTGTCGGCTGCGGACCTGTTCTGTCCAGAGTGTGGGGTACTGAGAGATGATGTCTAAAGCACACACACGAATGCACAAAACATTAGCTCTGTCTCAAACCCTAGTGAGCGCTTGACCTACACGCCATTTAAAGGCTTCATTGACACTCACCTTCCTCATCAGCGGACGGCTGGGTTTCCACTGCGAAAAACGTTGGCGGATCTGCATTTAGAATGGAGAAGATTTGCAAGGAAACTACAATTACGAGAGTCAGCTAAACAGTCACATCGCATGATCCATAACGCTTTTGCACATTGCCCGGCCAGGACAGATTCGAGAGATGGAGGGACAGAATATAACAGAGGAAGAGGATAAACTGAAGAAAACAAACAGGCAGAGAAAGGGTTAAAGGAGGTTTAGTGGTTACAATTGACTCACATAAAGAAAGAAAAAAAACAGTTTAAGCATTCAATGTCTTTGCTTGACACCATGAAACACACATTTATAATGACAAAAAGCAGTGTAGTTCAAATATAGAAGTCTGTAAATGCAAAAATTGAAAAGTGACAAAAATACGAAAAAACAGCGTCCAAAATTAACACTCGCCAAGCACTAAATGTGAGTAACATTTGGTTGAAGTGACTTGAAAAATGTTACTCAGCAACTTTATAATGATTTGCAGCACAATGCATGGCTTTTTAAGACATGTTCTTTGGATAATTTTTGAACATTATCATTTAACAAATTTGACAAATTAAGGCATAAAAAGGTCTTAATTCGGAGCAGTACTTTTAAAATCATAAAGTCATGGCAAAAATATTGCATGCACTGCAAAAAAACGCATGTATTACTCTGTATTTTTCTGTTCTTTTCCAATGCAAACATCTAAATATCCTTAAATCAACACACTTGAGATGCAAAATGAATTTGAACAAAATTAAGTGAGTTTGTTTAAAACCAGAGCAAACATCTGCCAAAGGGGTATGAAAAGGGGTTTTCCCATTGAGCCCATTGGCAGATATTTGATCTTGCTTTAACACTTCACTTAATTCTGATCAATTTCTCAGAAAACAAGACATCTTAATGACATTTGCACTGGGAAACAAAACAAAAATACTGAGAAAGAACTTCCCTTTTTTGTAGTATGTGTTATGTGTGCAGACGGGGATGAAGGAACATCTCTAGATGCTGGCCACAGGAATCTAAAATGCTGAGAGCCGCAGGTGTGGTTAACCTCAGCAGGGTCACCATTAACTCATCAGAGGGCAGAAGATAAACTGCCCCTTCTCTCTTTCGGTGTGTTTTTCTCTACTAGCATCCTTGGGAAAAAGTTGGGGAACTTGATGAACAGCTACTGTCGGCACTCTGATGAAGTGATAAAGTGTTACGAGATCCGACCCTGTTATTTATATGACTCTAAAATTTCAGTGTAGCTCAACACATCAATGATTTTCTATGTTTTTGTGGCTTTTTGCCTTTTATTTGATAGGACAGCCCTAAAGCAACAGGAAATGGTGGGAAGAAAGAGAAGGCGTGGGATCGGGAAATGACCCAAGACGCAAAGCCAGGTCATCATTGTGCTATGTGCACTACTGACCAGGCCACACCTCTGACAATGGATCTGTTCCAAAACCTAGTGAGCTGCATTCTACAGCAGCATCCTAACCATCATGGGATCTTATAAGTGACTGATTTGGAACGCTTCACTGCAATAAATGTATTTTCTTCCTCAGGATGTTTATCTTCTTTTTCCTTACAAATATCTAAACATGTATATATATATATATATATATATAACCTAGTAAGGATTTTTGAGGCAGCTTGCTAGTTTTTGAAATGATGTGGAAAGCAAAATACCAGCTTTTCTGGTGACTGAACATGATTACATTTTCCATTATATTACAGTTATATTACTTTTTAATAGGTATACTTGGAAATTTGACATGTCATAAGTAAAATCATTTTTAATCAGTACACATTTTAGAAGAGGTAAAACATCTACAAAATAAACTTCAACAAAAACCTTCACATCTCCCATAGCTGATTGTTTAAACTGAAAAAGACATTCACCTTAAAACAGAAAAAAAGATAAAAATAGGGTGATTATCTGGAGATCAGGTGGTCTGTTTTGTTTCGTAAAAGGAGAGAATCAGTGCCATTAGTAGTGCATGAGAAAGCTCTTCATCTGGAAAGAAGAGAAATGATGTCCAGGTGAAGTGGTTAATGTTCACTGCGATGCTATGACAAAACTGTTTAGCCCTTCGATTTCATTTTAACGACTGTGAAAAGCAAAGGCTGTTATTACAGCGTCTCTCTGTTTAACGACTCCAACATACGACCATTTACTTTCAGCCCTGAAGCAACTTCAGCACTCTCAATTCACAAAATATTAGAATGGCAAGCCGTAACTCGCAGTACAGACACACACAGAGTTCATCTGAGATTGAGAAGTGCATGGAGCATGGCTATGTCGATTCAACTCTTCAAACCATGAGCATGATTGGCCATACAAAAAGAAAATATTCTTTAATTGCTCAGTTGTTTCTCCTAGACAGTTATGAGATTAAATTGAGAACAGATGGAGACTTCTTTTCAGAAATTTCTCCTGAGAAAAACATCCCTATCTCAAATGTCTCAAAAAGTCTGCAAAAAGGTTATAGATCTCAATATGAACTCAAACAATTCTCATCAAATTCGTTCAGTTTCAGGATATCTCATCTATACTATTCATATTAGTTTTAAAGCTCTATAATCGTTCTGTATGTCAACGGCTGTCTCATTTGTCAGTTTTTGTATTTTCAGCAGACACATCAAGAGACAAAGTTGATTCTCAAAGTCCACTGACGTCTCCTGAGCAAAGTAAGTAAATTAAAACATTTAGCATGTGATGGTTTTCTGTCTTCTCCTACATACCAAAACCAATCTGACTCAGTTAGCATTTTGTGTTGAAAAGTGATGACAGATGTTTGTCGGTAACTCACATTGTGTTCTGGTCCTGTTTTTTCGGCAACGTTCCTGTTCTGACCAGAGTGTGGGGTACTGAGAGGTGATGTCTAAAACACACACACACAAATGCACAAAACATTAGTGCTGTCTCAAACCCTAGTGAACGCTCGACCTAGACGCCATTTAAAGGCTTCATTGACACTCACCTTCCTCATCAGCGGACGGCTGGGGTTCCACCATGAAAATCGCTGGCGGATCTGCATTTAGAATGGAGAAGATTTGCAAGGAAACTACAATTACAATTGCCAGCTAGACAGTCACATCACATGAGCCATGACGCATTTGCACATTGCCCGGCCAGGACAGATTAGAGAAATGGAGAAACAGAATAAAACCGAGAACTGAGGAGCACAAACAGGCAGATAAAGGGTTAAAGGAGGTTTAGTGGTTATAACTGACTCACTGAAAGAAAGAAAAAACGGTTTAAACATTCAATCTCTTTGCTTGACATCATGAAACACACGCTTGTAAAGACAAAGAGCAGTGTAGTTCAAATATAGAAGTCTGTAAGTGCAAAAATTGTGATAGATATATGCAAAACAACATCCAAAATGAACACTCGCCAAGCAAATGTGAGTAAAATTTGGCTGAAGTGATTTGAAAAATGTTTGCAGTAACTTTATAATGACCTGCAATCTTTTAAGCGTTGTTCTTTGGATAATTGTTCATCTAGGAAGTAGTTTTCCCCTTGTTTGAACTTGTGTGGCAATAAATCCTCATGTCAAGGCACCAAAATGGATAAAGATTCCATTTTAATCATATACAATGATTCATTATGTAATAATATATCGCTTATAATATATAATACAATAATATAATACAGGGTTTTATATTTTACAAGGTGCACCCTTTGACAAAATTTGCCTAAAAAGTTCTTAAATCGGAGCAGGAAGTCTTAAATTCATAAGTCATGACAAAAATCTTGCATGCACTGAAAAAAGTTTGTGTATTGCTCAGTATTTTTGTTTTCTTTTACAATATAAACATATAAACATCCTTAAATCAAGACACATTTACTTGAGATGCAGTATGAAATTAAACAAAATGAAGTGCGTTTAAGTTTAAAACAAGAATGAACATCTGTCAAAGGGGTATGAAAACTTGTTTTCACTTTGAATTTTTCTTAGCCCATGGGCAGATATTTGATCTTGTTTTAATTTTGATAAATTTCTCAAAAAACAAGACTTCTTATCTTAAGTCATGGCATTTGCACTGGAAAACAAGCAAGTCTTTTTTGTAGTGTAGTAAGTTATTTCCATATTACTACTCGTTGGGCTTACGTGGTCTTAAAAAGATCTTAAAATGTCTTAAGTTTACCTTCATAAAACCTGCAGAAACTTTGCAGTAATAATGTATATTAAATCATTCATAAGGTCAATAATGTATTTCTAAATAAAATAAATAAATAATGCAAAATACATTTTCCTGACTGGTATTTGCGTAAAATGAATTTTGGACCCTGTATGTAAAAAAATATCTGCCTTCCCTGTAAAAAACCCAAGAACAGGCATGATCTGGAGAACAGGCATGCAAGAATGCATGCAAACACACACGCACACAAACAGAGCGGACATATGATCTGTTGTGTGCAGATGGGGATGAAGAAACATCGCTAGACGCTTTGGCCACAGGAATCTAAAATGCTGAGAGCCGCAGGTGTGGTTAACCTCAGCAGGGTCACCATTAACTCATCAGAGGTCATCAACTGCCCCTTCTCTCATTTGGTGTGTTTTTCTCTACTAGCATCTTTGGGGAAAAGTTGGGGAACAGCCACTGTCAGCACACTGATGAAGTGATAAAGTATTACGAGATTCGACCCTGTTATTTATATGACTCTAAAATTTCAGTGTCGCTCAACACATCAATGATTTTCAATGTTTATGTTACTTTTTATTTGATAGGACAGCCCAGAAGTGACAGGAAATGGTGGGAAGAAGGAGAAGGCGTGGGATTGGGAAATGACCCAATATGTGAAACCAGGTCATCATCATGCTTTGTGCACTACTGACCGGGCCGCACCTCTGATAATGGATCTGTTCTAAAACCTAGTGAGCTGCCTTGCTGTCTACTGCCTACTTAGGCAACTGCCTCCTATGGCAGCATGCTAATCATCATGGGACTGATTTTCAAGTGACTGATTTTCTTCCTCAGTATGTTTATCTTCTTTTTCCTTACAAATATCTATAAACATTTAAAATCAAAATACATTTTGTAAAACTGAAGCAAAATTACTTAAGATATTCAATTTTGTTTACTTAAGATATTCAAGTAATCGTGTCTTCATTTAAGAATGTTTAGGTACTTGTGCAGAAAAAAAACTGAGGAAGACTATTTTTTGCAGTGTCTGCATTCACAAAATAATGTTCACCACATGAAAAGCACAGTGATTGATTTCAATAGAGTTTGGCATTAGCAGTTTGTAATCATACAATATTCCAGTATGCATAAAAATAAACAGCACACACAAGCATAGGGTAAATTTAAGCTTTTATCAAGTGTACCAATAATTTTATATATGAAATATTTAATTTAAGAATGTTATATATAGGCTACTATAATATCTAATAATTTACAATTCATTATATAGCAAAAACCTAACTTTGAAAAACCTAACCTGACTGAACATGATCAAATTTTCCATTATATTACAGTGCCTTTTTTACTTGGAAATCTGCTATTTCGTAAGTAAAATCCTATTATCATTATTATTATTTTTTAATCAATACGCTCTTTAGAATTGGTAAAACTTCTAAGAAATAAACTTCAACAAAAACCTTTACATCTCCCATAGCTGAGTTTTTAAACTGAAAAGGACATTCCTCTTAAAACTGAGAAACGGTGATCATCTAGAGATCAGGTGGTCTGTGCTGTTAGTGCCATTAGTAGTGCATGAGAAAGGTCTTCATCTGGAAAGAAGAGAAATGACGTCCAGGTGAAGTGGTTAATGTTCACTGCAGTAATCTGACAGAACCGTGAAGCCCTTCGATTTCGTTTTAACGATTGTGAAAAGCAAAGGCTGTTATTACAGCGTCTCTCTGTTTAACGACTCCAACATACGACCATTTACTTTCAGCCCTGAAGCAACTTCAGCACTCTCAATTCACAAAATATTAGAATGGCAAGCCGTAACTCGCAGTACAGACACACACACACACACACACACACACACACACACACACATTAAAACGTAGCTGCCAGTGCAGATTGTCCCTCATGAAAGTCTTTACCATATCAAAAGAAATCGTTGAGGGTATTTACCTGATTTTCCTGGTTCCTTCGGATTCACTTTGTCCTTCTTGGACCCTGAAAATCAGCAGGACAATCACAGGTTACTCACACTAAGATTTTAGCAAATCTACACCTAGAATTTAGTTGATTCTTAACTGGACTATAACATTCAAATGTGTCCTGTAGATCAGAGCAAGTCTTCCAGGAATGGTTAATTTGAAATTACTTACGTTTTTAATTATGCATTAAACCTCTACAGAGGAACATGATAATGTTATGGAGGCTGCAGGGGGTAAAAGCCATATGACACTCTCTTGGAGTAAAAGAGCAAGAATGTTTGAGTTGGGCGCTTCGCCTGCCAAACGCACATTTGTTTTGTGATGCTCCCCCAGACCTAACTGATTAAGCTGTTGCATGTGCAATTAAATCTAATTGGTCCTTTTCTAGTGAAGCTGTGGTTAAAGCCAAGCCAACAATGTTATGATCCAGGAACCCATGGCCTGCAGTGATTGAGTTTCAGTTTTGTGCGTGAGTGTGTGTTTAATGCAGTGCTATGCTAGTTTACTGCATGTGGCTTTGGTTATGTGGTATTGTTATGCTGGAACGTTTCTGTAGATTAGGATTAGCTCTGTTCCGGCATCTCTCAGTGCTATCACTGGCTTAGACGCTGAGTTTCTGCATTTCTCTGTTGATTTATATTCCTAAACAACTATAATGTGCCAAAACATTGAGATTGTGTAATCACTGTTTGGAATCACTTCAGAGTACTATTTATGATGTGAAAATCTCTTTTGAAGAAGATGTGACTGAAGCACAGAATAAAGAATAAAGGCATGAAAAACACAGCAGAGGTAGAAGTATGGTACCTTGGCATTGAGGTTTCTTATTGGCTACTGCTGAGCCGCTGATGGGTCTGCCACTGGGTGTCACACACCAACAATAACCAGTGTAGCTGTGGCACTGAACCTGTTAGTCAAATACAGCAGAGATCAAGAAAAAAGACAGAGAGAGGCAGAACAATTGAGAAATTTGACAGTGAAATTGAAAGGTGTAAAATCCAACAATATGCCGTCCGTTCGTCTGTCTAACCATCCATCAGTCTAGCCATCTATCATTCTAAATTTTTATCGTTATATAATTCATCTCATACCTCGCTGTAGGTTCCGTCAGGATTGCAGACAGGAACGAACACCTGTGGAAAGAGTTTCTTGGCTTGCTGTTCTGTGTATTTCTTCTCTGCTACACACCTGGACGTATCTGGAGACACAACACAGGTAAATCCAGCAAGTCCGACAAACTATATAACCATCCATGTTATTCTATGGCAAAAATAACACATTCTCATGTCTTAATTTGGTCAGTCAATTCATAGGTAATTTGTTGTGAACTGAAAATGTTCTTTATCCTTATTATCCTGATTATCAAACAGCTAAGTATTTAACAGTGAGTCAGGACTGCCACTGGAGCCCTCTTAAAAAATGCATGACACGTCTGCTTTGGAGATCTTGAAAAGTACTATTAACTTGATGATTCATTTGTTCACAAACTCTGTCCATCCCCTTTTCTATATATAAACTTAAACTTTATTTCCAATTATTCCACTTTAAGCACACAGTTACTATTCTGCTCATCGTGTTAGTGTAATATAGAAAACAGAATGTCTGCAGAGAGCGAGTGCATTAAATTCAAACCGACAGGCGAGTCCTCTGGCGTTCTCTCTCTGACTGATGTGGCACGGGTGTTTTTTCTTTTCTTTTTTTCAGAGGAAAGGAAAAAATGGTAATGGCGAAAGAAAATGAAGCAGGAAATAAGACTTGGTTTCTTTTGCAGTGACATGTGACCTCTCAGACACAGAATAATTCAAGATGTTTCGGAAGTGCTGGATCCCTGTGAGTGGTTGGGAATTAGACCAACAGTCCTACTGGAGTCATCACTATGTCTATACCAGCCCAGTGGTAAAACTATCGCAGATCTCGCTCTGTCATTCTGTGTTAAGTCTGTGTGAGCTGATGGTGTCCAGCAGGTTGTAATGCATCTGTATGTACATTTATGTGTGAGTGTGTGTGTGGATGTCGTTGTTGCAGCTGGGCAGAAAATCTTCCAGACCTCAGTGGAGACATAAACTCACTCTCTCCACTGGGCAAATCATTAAAACACTTTTAGTCCGGGATGGCATGAGAGGATAAGCAAGGAACTCAGTGAAAAGGATGGTATACGATGTAAATGCTAACCTAATGTATATACTGTATCATTCAGTTCTGAAAAACAAATCACTAAAATATAGTACTTAAAATTAGCCATTTTACCTAATGTTTGTGTGCATTATGTATGTTATGCCTATTCGAGTGTCAAGTCAGGTTACATTTATTTATATAACGCTTTATGAAGTACAGATTGTTTTAAATCAGCTTCACATTAATAAAACAGAAAAATGACAGTGTTAAGGTCTTTGCACACTGAGTCCGAAATTTTAGCATGTTAAAAAATAAATACAACCTCATGTTGTGTCAATCACGTTTACACACTGCCTCTGAAACTTTAGTCCTTCATGAACAAAATCGGACCAGGTTCGATTTTCTGCGTTTTCGCATCCGTAGCAAGCATTTTGATAGGAAAGGATGACAAATACGAAAAAAACTTTTAAAAAAAAACGCCTAAGAAAATTTCAGCCTCAGTGTGCAAGGACCTTTAATGTTGTCAAATTCGTTAATTATGGAAAAAAGCAGTCTAAGCTGTAAGTCAGCGCTAGAGAAGATAATAGTGTAATTACTCAGCTAAATTTAGTTCAATAACTGCCAATGTGTCAAGTTCATCGGTCATGAAAAGTTCTTAATTCAGAACGTCAATAAGTAGCTCTGCAGAAGGCAATTCAGCTAGAGTCAGTTGAGAATTAATGTTATTATCCAGCTCAATTCAGTTCAAATTTGAGAGACAAATCATATAAAGAGTGTTGAAATAAACTGTTCTCGACTTTGACGTTTGTGCACAGCTGCACAACCTGAACGAACCCTGAATGTACTTCCCTTTCCAATCTATTTCTTTCACTCTCATTTTAGCGGAACATAATTCATCCTCTTTTTGTACCTCTTTCCCTTTCTCTCTCTATTTCTCACACTCTCTTTAATCCCAATGTAAGAATGACACATTGTGCTTACTAGTAGGGAAAGAAAGAGTGAGCGGGAGACAGAAAGACAGAAAGAAAGAGAGCACAGAGCAGAAAAGTGTACAGGGCACGAGAGTCTTCCTGCCGAGCCTAAATACAATGAGAGTGTTTGTGAGCCGTTTGACCTCTGACCTCTGTGGTTACTGATGGCGTTCGCCCCTCCCTTCATACAAATGACCACCGATCTCTTACACGTATGAATGCACCACTGTACATTTGTTTTTACACAGGCAAGATCCCCATCGAGATCTTAGCAAAGATGTTTCTCAATTTATGGATTTTGTGAAAACGCACCAATTTTTACCAGTCTTTGTATATTTTTATATACTGCTACGCTTTTGCTATTTCATTTGCATTCCAAATAGAGTGATTTTATAGAAAACATAAAATGGCATTCTTAATCCACACTGGATCTTAAGTTTGTCTTTCAGGGTTTAACTGGATAGGCTATAACTTTACTGGTTCATATGATTTTTTATTCTGCTAGTGTGGCCTCGGTTACATCATCAGAAAAGAAAAGCTGTTTCAGAGCCAAAATTCTTTGATAATTATATTTTAATTTATGGGATTAAATTGAATGATTTTTAAATGTTTAAATATTTAAACTATATTTAATATATTATTCATATATAATATGATTAATAATATATCACATTGAATGTATTATTAAAATAAATATTACATTTATAAATTACAAATAAAATAAATTAAATAAAGTTTCTCAAAACATTAAACATTCAAACTTTTTTTTAAATTTAAGATGCATAAGGACAATCAGGAGCAAAGTTGAATCTGCATCATTTGTGTCACCTCAAATCATCAACTCGCTTCAGATCACTGTTAGTGTGAACGCCTCTTAAGAGTACAATTTGAAATGTCATAGAGGACGGTGTGTTGTACTCTGCAAAATCCCGCTCTGTCTCGTCAAAGAAAGATCATTTATCCCTAGATGGATTTAACCCTGCCCGCCTCGACCCTGACCCACAAAGGGCATCAGGCCAACCAGCAGCGGCTCACGTTTGATTGGTGAACTCTGACCTTTGCATGACCCTCGTATGACTTCCAGCTGAGGGTCACGGCACTTTGCACGGAGAAACTCGCAGCGGGAACTGAAGGTCCGTCCGTCTGATGCACACAGAGGCTTGCGAGGAGCTCCGGAACAATCCATATTGCATTCTTTATCTTGCTCCACATGCAGAAACTGTGAAGATGGACAGAAAGAGATGTTACTAGTTACTAAGCTAACAATGTGAGCATAAAAATACATAGCACACAAATACTGTGTAAAATAATACATTTCATTTAAATAAACTGTTTAATTATTTCAATGTAATATTTAAAATGATACTATATTTAGATTTTATTCAAAATGTGTTTTATTAAACTTTAAAAAATGTAATATAATTTTATATAAATTTTTATTTATATTTAAAAATATTAACATATATATATATATTAATATATATGCTCATATTAATTATATTTCTATTTATAAAAATGCATATAAATATATTGTAGTTTATATTTCTATAAACATTTATTTATAATGTTATATAAATATATAATATAATTTGTATATTTTTATTAATTTGTTCATTTTGTTAATTAATTTGTTAGTTTTTCATTTTACTTGTTGCGATCACCATGAAGGATATATTATTTGATGACATCTTTGTCCCAAATAAAGTATCTTAGCAGTCAGCATAATTATTCATTATTTTGGTGCATTTTGCAATTTCAAGTATTATGTTATACTAATAGAAATTTTTCCAGTGCCCTGTTTTTTTTTCTTTTTTAAAGTCGACAGTGAAGGGCTTGGCATCTTTTGAGCTCATGTCACACTCCATTCTCTATTGTTCTTTCGCATTCATTTACCAAATAATACACACACTGAAGCACAAACAAATAGCATTCACACACCCCTCTGTGTCTGTGTCATGTCTTGTTTGTGAATGAGGGATTGTGGGAGAAAGGCAGAGGTGCTGACGGCCTCTCGTGTGGCGCTTTTATCTGTCTGTCACTCTCACACCTGCACAGGTACGGCCACAAACAACTCGCATTGATTGAATACTGTGTGTTTTCTCTTTGTGCATTGCAGGAACATTCAAACACACTGCAAACATCACCTTACCGACAAATTCAAGAGTGGACAGGAAATCGACTTGCTTTGTGTCGGGACATTATCTACACAGGTGTGTGTTTAATGTTCAGATGAGTTATAATCGTCTAAACTAGCGAATGCAAAAATAACTTGAAAAGGTACTGAGACACACACACACACACACACCGACAAATTCAAGAGTGGACAGGAAATCGACTTGCTTTGTGTCGGGACATTATCTACACAGGTGTGTGTTTAATGTTCAGATGAGTTATAATCGTCTAAACTGGCGAATGCAAAAATAACTTGAAAAGGTACTGAGACACACACACACACACACACTCACCTGCACCCAATAAATCAGCCACGGGAAAACAGCAAATGAAAGTAGTGTTGAAAGGAAACAAATTCTTCATATAAAGCTGATGGGTAGATTCCTTACCCACTCAGAAATTAGCACTGGCTGACAATCTACAAATGACTTTCTGTGCAAACATCACCTTACCGACAAATTCAAGAGTGGACAGGAAATCGACTTGCTTTGTGTCAAGACATTATCTGAACAGGTGCGTTTGTAATGTTCAGATGAGTTATAATCGGCCAAACTGGCAAATGCAAAAAATTACTTGAAAAGATACTGACACATACAGACTCACCTGCAGCCAATAAATCAGCCACGGGAAAACAGCAAATGAAAGTAGTGTTGAAAGGAAACAAATTCTTCATATAAAGCTGATGGGTAGATTCCTTACCCACTCAGAAATTAGCACTGGCTGACAATCTACAAATGACTTTCTGTGTGTGTGTGTTTGTGTGAGGGAGGGAGGGAGCTCTGCACCTGGAAGATGGTTTCAGAGGGGGTTTGAGGATCAACCCTTTGCCCCTGGCGATGGGAGACAGCTCTGCTGTCATCTCTGATCATAAATCTAGAGTTGATGAATGTGTGTGTGTGTGTTGTGTGTGTGTGTGCGTGTGTGTTGTGTGTGTGTGTGTGTGTGTGTGTGTGTGTGTGTGTGTGTGCAGTGGCATTCTTTACAGTGTGATGTTGTGTGTGTGTGTGTGTGTGTGTGTGTGTGTGTGTGTGTGTGTGTGTGTGTGTGTGTGTGTGTGATGAATGTGAGGCAAAGAAGCTGGTTCAGGCATAGCGGAAGAGGGGTTGTGAGTGTACTGAGATTGAACTAACTTGCTTTTTGTAATTGAGTTATTGACTATTTAGTCCTTCTCTTCTGAATGCCCCAGTGTGTGTGTTTGTGCTGAGAGGTTGCTCTTTCATAGCTTATAGGAGAGTAAATGGAGATCTTGGAGATGTTTTGTTAAGGTGTATAATATATATATACAGGTGCATCTCAATAAATTAGAATGTCGTGGAAAAGTCCATTTATTTCAGTAATTCAACTCAAATTGTGAAACTCGTGTATTAAATAAATTCAGTGCACACAGACTGAAGTAGTTTAAGTCTTTGGTTCTTTTAATTGTGATGATTTTGGCTCACATTTAACAAAAACCCACCAATTCACTATATGATGCGTCTCTGCTGTTGGTTGTAATATTGGTGAAGTAAATCCACACTTTGCTGAAGAAGCGTTAGCAAACTCTTGAGCAGCAACAACAGTTCCATATACTCCGCCATTGTTGTGTATGTTTGGTTGCGCTTGCCTTTAAAATCGATACGTACTGCGCATGTCTACATGCCTAACACGTACTACGCATGCGCATGACATCACCGTTTTCAAAGATTCACATATTGGGTTTACACGGAAACGATAACTGTGCCGTTTTCAAAAACTTCAGAAATATGCGTTTTCAGTCCCCAAAATGTCACCGTCATGTAAACGAACAGTCAAAATGCATAAAAAGTTTCCCGTTTTTGGCTGAAAACGTTGTCGTGTAAACGGCCCATAAGCCATCCCAGATGCATATAAGGGTTAACATGCTTGGATATAGCACTCTGTGAACAGCCAGCTTCTTTGTCAATGAATGTTTGTGGCTTACCCTCCTTGTGAAGGGTGTCAGTGATTGTCTTCTGGACAACTGTCAGTTCAGCAGTCTTCCCCATGATTGTGTAGCCTAGTGAACCAAACTGAGAGGCCATTTTGAAGGCTCAGGAAACCTTTGCAGGTGTTTTGAGTTGATTAGCTGATTGGCATGTCACCATATTCTCATTTGTTGAGATAGTGAATTGGTGGGTTTTTGTTAAATGTGAGCCAAAATCATCACAATTAAAAGAACCAAAGACTTAAACTACTTCAGTCTGTGTGCATTGAATTTATTTAATACACGAGTTTCACAATTTGAGTTGAATTACTGAAATAAATGAACTTTTCCACGACATTCTAATTTATTGAGATGCACCTGTATATATACCTTAACAAAACATCTCCGAAATATAAATTTTATTATTTTATTTTTATTTTTTTTCCAAAAGCAAACTGAATAAAAAGGGCTCAGTTTTGCTTTCTCATTGCACATGAACTTTAAAGTGGACTGAAAGTTATTGTTTTTATCCACTTTTTAGTTCATCGACCATTCAACACACTTTTTTGTTTTATTATTTTATTTAATTTATTGAGATGCACCTGTATATATACCTTAACAAAACATCTCCGAAATATAAATTTTATTATTTTATTTTTATTTTTTTTCCAAAAGCAAACTGAATAAAAAGGGCTCAGTTTTGCTTTCTCATTGCACATGAACTTTAAAGTGGACTGAAAGTTATTGTTTTTATCCACTTTTTAGTTCATCGACCATTCAACACACTTTTTTGTTTTATTATTTTATTTTATTAAATTGAACCTTGAACCTTCAAAGTGGACTGAAAGTAAAATTTAACTTCAGCTTTCAGTCCACACATTTATTTATATTTGTATTTATTTATTTATTTTTTGTAACATGCATGTAGGCTATATATTTATTTAACTAAATCACACACCCTTTGAGGTTTAATTATTGCACTTGGCCAATCGCGATTTTTTTTTTTCCGATTGGCTGCAGTACATCCTGTCTCTGTGTGTGACAGAAAAATA